AAGTCGATGAGACGTTTTCAACACTGTCACTATTGGCCACAGTTGTAATAAAGATATTAGCCATGGTATGATCATAACTCACAGTAATCACCACACCACAAACCGCACCTTCTGACTGCTCGGACTTCACAGTAAACACCGCACCACAAACCGCACCTTCTGACTGCTCGGACTTCACAGTAAACACCGCACCACAAACCGCACCTTCTGACTGCTCGGATTCCACAGTAGACACCACTACCCGCACCTTCTGACTGCTCGGACTTCACAGTAGACACCACAACACTACCCGCATCTTCTGACAGTTCGGACTTCTCCGTAGAACTTGGCCAACCACCTGTAGGTACAAGAAAATCTACCATCTGCTTCCGAAAACCTTGTACCTCATAAACTTCGGCTTGACCTCCATTTGACATCGTGGGGAAAAGCTCTTCCTAGGTTAGTCTCCGCTATGTCGTCGATTAATGTGACACGAAGATTTAACTCAATGTCATATGTGATCCATATTAACGAAAAGTTACGGTAATAATATGATAATGAAGTGCAAACATTTCTATGTTACACAATACAGTAAGCAGGATAAATAATGCGTCACCAAAAAAGTTGGTAAAATCATATTATTCTAGTACACGATTATGTCACGAAAATGTCAAAGGAGACAGTGAAAAGTTAAATGCATCATAGTGAATTTATGCCAGAAAATTTAAATTAATATGACGAAATATAGTATGTAACAAACACAACAGCTGATATATGTAAACAAAGACAAGAGTGTTTTTTAATCAAATTCGATCGTCCCATTGTGATTATATATTTAAATACGTGAACGTTTGTATGTCACTATGTTTCTGTCGCTCTAAATGAGACTATTCAGCGATACGATATGATTACCATTTACCCCGTGTTATGTAAAGTAGGGATTAGAGCGTCACGTTGTCAGGTTAACGCTACCATCATGTAAACACTTGATAACATCCAAACCTTAGAAAATCGGTCTCCATGACAACGCTGGCGTTGCTAGGTAAGACGTACATGTTTGTGGAGACTAAGTCCTCTCATGCTGCTCAATTTGTTCCCAGTATAGCGTAAACACATTGACAGTTTCTGTGCGGATTAAGCACGTAAATGTTACGATCATTTGCCAAGAATTTAACATTTAAATTCTAACGAAAACCCGATTCTCGGTTTTGCTCTTCATTAAAAAGCCTAGCTGGTGATAACAAGGGATCTGGTGAGAGTTCCTTTTTACTTGGACTAATAGGAATAGAAAAAGGACAACCGAACTCCTATTAAAATAAGTTAACACGTGAACACACATTATTGTGTAACTTCTATAACACCAGCCTGCTGTAGACAGGCCTGGTTCTGTGTGCACTAGGCGCAGTGATACCACAGCATGTAAATCCAAATGCACACTGTTCTAGTACACTGGCGGGCGCGGTGATATAACAGCATATCAACTCAAGTACACACTGTTCTAGTACACCGTGCAGGCGCGGTGATATAACAGCATGTCAACCCAAGTGCACACTGTTCTAGTACACTGGCGGGCGCGGGGATATAACAGCATATCAACCCAAGTGCACACTGTTCTAGTACACCGTGCAGGCGCGGTGATATAACAGCATATCAACCCAAGTGCACACTGTTCTAATACACTGGCGAGCGCGGTGATATAACAGCATATCAACCCAAGTGTACACTGTTCTAGTACACCGTGCGGGCGCGGTGATAGGTAGGCCGACTCTGTCCATTTATTCATTTCATTCCACTTAGTTTTAGCTAAGCAAGGCACGGTGATACCATATTCTGTAGTTCAACTCGATTCTAGTTATGCAATGCACGGTGATACATCAACCTGTAGGCCACTTACATCTGGCTACGCCAGGCACGATGATACAACAGCATGTAAGCGCACATGGTTCTAGCTACATGTACGCCAGGCATGATGAAACAACAGCCTGTAAGCCCACTTGGTTCTAGCTACGCCAGGCACGATGATACAACAGCCTGTAAGCGAACTTGGTTCTAGCTCGGACTTAGAAATCAAAGTCCATGATTCTAGCTACACCAAACGCGATGATACTCCAGCCTGTAGGCCCACTTGGTTCTAGCTACGCCAGGCATGGTGATACAACACCTTGTAGGCCAACTCTATTTTAGTTATACAAGGCACATTGATACAACGTACAACACCCCGTAGGTCAACCCTGATCCAACACCCTGTAGGCAAACTCTATTCTAGCTAGATACAGTGTTCAGTCCGTAGGCCAGCTCAATTCTAGCTATACAAGGAGCGGTGATACAACAGCCTGTAGGCCAACTTGTAGGCCCACTTGGTTCTAGCTACGCCAGGTACGATGATACAACAGCCTGTATGCCCACTTGTAGGCCCATTTGGTTCTAGTTACACCAGGTAGGATGATACAACAGCCTGTAGGCCCACTTGTAGGTCCATTTGGTTCTAGTTACACCAGGTACGATGATACAACAGCCTGTAGGCCCACTTGTAGGCCCACGTGGTTCTAGCTACACCAGGTCCGATGATACAACAGCCTGTAGGCCCACTTGTAGGCCCACTTGGTTCTAGCTACACCAGGTACGATGATACAACAGCCTGTAGGCCCTCTTGTAGGCCCATTTGGTTCGAGTTACACCAGGTACGATGATACAACAGCCTGTGGGCCCACTTGTAGGCCCATTTGGTTCGAGTTACACCAGGCACGATGATACAACAGCCTGTAGGCCCTCTTGTATGCCCACTTGGTTCGAGCTACACCAGGTACGATGATACAACAGCCTGTAGGCCCACTTGTAGGCCCACTTGTAGGCCCCCGTGGTTCTAGCTACACCAGGTGCGATGATACAACAGCCTGTAGGCCCACTTGTAGGCCCACTTGGTTCTAGCTACACCAGGTACGATGATACAACAGTCTATAGGCCCAATTGTATGCCCACTTGGTTCTAGCTACACCAGGTACGATGATACAACAGCCTGTAGGCCCACTTTGTCCTAGCTACACCCGGTACGATGATACAACAGCATGTAGGCCCACTTGTATGCCCACTTGGTTCTAGCTACACCAGGCACGATGATATAACAGCCTGTAGGCCCACTTGGTTCTAGCTATGCCAGGTACGATGATACCACAGCATGTAGGCCCACTTGGTTCTAGCTACACTAGGTACGAAGATACAACAGCCTGTAGGCCCACTTGGTTCTAGCTACACCAGGTACGATGATACAACTGCCTGTAGGCCCACTTGTAGGCCCACTTGGTTCTAGCTACACCAGGCACAATGATACAACAGCCTGTATGCCCACTTGGTTCTAGCTACGCCAGGTACGATGATACAACAGCCTGTAGGCCCACTTGGTTCTAGCTACGCCAGGTACGATGATACAACAGCATGTAGGCCCACTTGGTTCTAGCTACACCAGGCACAATGATACAACAGCCTGTAGGCCCACTTGGTTCTAGCTACGCCAGGTACGATGATACAACAGCCTGTAGGCACACTTGGTTCTAGCTACGCCAGGCATGATGATATAACAGCATGTAGGCCCACTTGGTTTTACATAGCTGTGGTACGGTACAAAAGCTTGTCTGACACAAAAAAACAACAACATGTTTTTATCCTTGATCAAACTAATTAGAATTTCGTTTTCATGCTAGTTTTATCGTGTTTATGTGAGTTGTATCGGATCGAAGATCTAGCAATACATGTCAACACCACAAAATGGTGATTTGGATGTGAAAGTCGCAAAGTCGGTTGGCACTGATCCTAAAACATGGACTCAAACACTGAAAGGCTGCACAGTGACCTCAGAATTAATCACAGGATGTATGAGTGGACTTAACTCGATATGCGTGGAGTAATTAAGTACAATGGTTCGTTGATGAGGTTTAAATAGTAAACTAGGTAAAAGTAACCCCCTTCCCCCTCCCCTACACCAAATCCCTGATGAGTGATGGTATATTGGGTTTGATATGAATCATGAAAATAAGTAATGCTACCCAATATACAGCAGGATTTCATGAACATAAACTGTTTTACCTTCGATTTTACACAGGAATTAACAGTGTAAGGGAAATCGGAAAATTTCTTTTAAAGAAGATTTTCCTGGACACCGATGATTATCTTGAAATGAGAAAACTTAATTGAGGGAGTTGTCTTAACTTAGGGAAGGTTCACGAAATTCGTGTGGGGTTCCTTCGCCAGACTTCACTTCACTCATGTTTATATAGCGAGGGGCTATTCGCAGGGGATCATTGCACTTATTTAAAATATCAAAGAGGTTGTATATATCTTAAAACGTTTCTACTTTTAAATTTGCTTTCTCCGTTTTTAAGAAGCAGTCTCTTAAATATGGAGCCATGTAATCTTTAACAGGTTCAACCAGTTTCCTTTCCCCGTTGTCACCAATTATTCATACAAAGTGAAATCCCTTTGGTCCAGCAATGCGCCCTTCCCAATCGTAACCATTTATTCATATAAAGTGGAATCCTTTTGGTCCAGCAATGCGCCCTTCCCAATCGTAACCATTTACTTATATAAAGTGAAATCCTTTTGGTCCAGCAATGCGCCCTTCCCAGTCGTAACCATTTATTTATATAAAGTGAAATCCTTTTGGTCAAGCAATATTTATGGACGTCTCATATTCTAACGACAATATACGCATAACTTTATGACCAAATGCAATAATAAGAGTGTAGCTCTCGGACATGTTGGGGCCTGCAAAACGTATATCAATTGTGAATAACAATCATCTATAACGTAAAACTCTACATCAGTAACTGTTAATTGTTCACAGGTTAGGAAAGGTTGCGTCCTTTTAAGGATTTTTATTACGAGCAAATGTAGAAACTGTAACATATCTCAAGGAATTACGACGTTAGGTATCAATATTTCGGACAGAAAAGAATAGGTTTGACTCCAACTTGACGTGTATGATATATTGGAATAAGATCTTTACGTTTTGTATATTGCAGATAGCATCGCACTTTTGCCCCGTGAGTGACGTCATGAGGTCTTTACTGAACATGGACGTCAACACGTCACCTAACTACACTCAGGTAGGTGGTGAAAATACCACATCACTTCCAGACATGCCGACCACACAGATCACAGACTTTGCATTCGTTATATATGTCGTGTTGCTGCCGACGGTGGCGCTGCTCGGCATGGTCGGAAACGTCCTTACAATGGTCGTACTTTGGAGCAAGCGCATGCAGTCAACAACAACGCTCTTTCTCCGTGGCCTCGTTCTCACTGATGTAGGTGTCATTGTGGTCCTTACGATGGCCATCACCCCGCTTGCAGTGGGCATGCACGGCCGTACACTTCAGGTATATGTTCACGTGATATACCCGCATCTATACGGGCCGTTCGACTTCCTTGCGATGTCGGTGCAGCAGTGTAATGTGTGGATCCTCGTATCCGTGTCGGTGGAGCGTTATATCGCAGTGTGCCACCCACTCAAAGCCGCCTACTACCGCACGCGCAGAAAGACAATCATCACTCTCGTGTTGCTCACGGTCTCGTCCGCTGTGTACAACGTTCCACGACTATTTGGTACAGTGGCACTTCCTACCCAGTGCGACCTACCCGAGTTAGAACAGTTAACGTGCTATAGAATCGATCTCACAGAACTCGGAAAGAATGTCTTCTACAAGGATGTGTACAAGGTGTGGATGTACGCCATTGTTATTTATCTACTTCCACTCATAACAATGTCAGTCATTAACGTCCTCATCATCCGGGAACTAATACGCATGCGTTCCCGGCGGCGAGATTTGGCCATCTATTGTCAGCAGCAGCAGAAGGAGGACAACGTGACGTTGGTCCTCGTCCTCATTATGACGGTCTTCATTCTCTGCCAGACGCTTGCGTTCTTTAATCAGATAGATGCTTTATTCGACGACAAAATAATGCAGGAGAACTACATCGCTGTCATCAGCTTCCTGTATGTGGTGAACTCGTCTGTCAACTTCCTAATCTATGTGCTTGTTGGTAAAAAATTCCGCCATGTTCTGTTCGCCCTCTGTCGGCGATATCGGCGGAGATCAAAGTTCTGTCCAGCACGGAATGGTTCCAACCATAGCCTCGAGAACACCATGGTAACGGAATTCCCCCATACAGCACTTTCCTGATCGGGAGAATTCATCGTTTTATCCTGGATATACACTGATTCCTTGCGCGTGGTGTTGTACATGTTATGATGGGTAATTGTGTAATTATTCGTTTCATGTTTGTCAACCTATACTTAAGCTTGTGACGTCATGTACATGTGGCCGTAATAAGTAAAAGAAACTTTCTATTGTGGAATTCCATGTCTTTTCCGGTAAAAAAATCTGCAGCGGGCATTCACTGTGATTTTCAAACACGTGTTGGTCTGTAATATTTTAGCCTCGTTCACGTGATAAAGCTGTTCACGTGTATATATGAGACACACCCATTCACATGTAATAGTTGATGTGTGAATACCAGAGTTTACAGTTTAAAAACAAAAAAGATGCACGTATGTCGCCAATGCTGACAGGAAACGAAATGTCAAATCAACAGTGACGTCATCAAGACACGCGCAAACTATAACCTCAGGCTTCAGTTCAAACTCACTCAGGCAATGACTTATGTATTTCTATGGTTACGTGTGAGGATTCTTAAAACAGATGTATTTGTCATAAATCGGACATTGCTATTGATGCACACGCTTGTGATATTGTGACGGGTACTACGGAACCATTAATCAGCATCGCATCCAGTGTACTGGATGTACTGGTCTCAAAAATCATTGTTCGGGAATGTTGAATCTATAAACTGATAACTGTATAGGTATGTTATACTATTTCTTAATGTGTATAAACCAATAAAAAAATCCCCGAAAATTACGAATCATGTTTTATTTTCAGTACGCCATGCCTGTGTATTAACGTGGGAATGTAGGAATCATACATACTATGTTGACAAGGGCAGGGAGTACTGGGATATCTTGATAGGGGGTACCGGTATATTAGTGTAGAGAGTACCGGTATACCAGTGAAGGGATTTCCGGTAGATCAGTGAAGGGATTTCCGGTATATCAGTGTAGAAAGAACCGGTATATAATTGGAAAGAGGACCGATATATAAGTGTAGGGAGAACGTGTATATTAGTGTTGGGAGTACCGGTATATAAGTGTAGGGAGAACCGGTATATAATTGGAAAGAGGACCGATATATAAGTGTAGGGAGAACGTGTATATTAGTGTTGGGAGTACCGGTATATAAGTGCAGGGATTACCGGTTCATTAGTGTGAGGAGTACCGGTATATAATTGTAGAAAAAAACACGATATATAAGTGTAGGGAGTACTGTATATATGTGTTGGGAATACCGGGTTATAAGTGTAGCGGGAACCTGTATACAAGTGTAAGAAGTACCAGTATATAAATGTAGGGTGTACCGGTATATAAGTGTTAAGAGTACCGGTTTATAAGTGTAGAGAGTGCCGGTATTTAAGTGAAAGGAGTACCGGTAAATAATTGTAGGAGGGGCTGGTATATAATTGTAGAAAGTATCATTATATACTTGAAGGGGGTACCGGTACATCAGTGTTGAGAGTTGCGGTATATAAGTGTAGGGAGTACCGGTATATAAGTGTAGGGAGTCCCGGTATATAAGTGTAGGGAGTACCGGTATATAAGAGTAGGGAGTACCGGTATATAAGTGTAGGGAGTACCGATATATAAGTGTAGGGAGTACCGGAATACAAGTGTAGGGTGTACCGGTATATAAGTGTAAGGAGTACCGGTAAATAATTGTAGGGAGAATCGATATATAAGTGTAGGGAGTACCGGTATATCAGTGTAGTAAGTCGGGTATATAAGTGTAGGGAGTACCGGTATATAAGTGTAGGGAGTACCGGTATATAAGTGTAGGGAGTACCGGTATATAAGTGTAGGGAGTACCGGTATATAAGTGTAGGGAGAACCAGTATATAAGTGTAGGGAGAACCAGTATATAAGTGTAGGGAGTACCGGTATATAAGTGTAGGGAGTACCGGAAAATAAGTGTAGGGAGTACCGGAATCCAAGTGTAGGGAGTACCGGTATAGAAGTGTAGGGAGTACCGGTATATACTGTTTCTCCCTACACTTATATACCGGTGCTCCCTACACTTATATACCGGTAATCCCTACACTTGTATTCCGGTACTCCCTACCCTTATATTCCGGTACTCCCTACACTGATATACCGGTACTCCTTACACTTGTATTCCGGTACTCCCTACCCTTATATTCCGGTACTCCCTACACTATTCCGGTACTCCCTACACTTATTTTCCGGTACTCCCTACACTTATATTCCGGTTCTCCCTACACTTATATTCCGGTACTCATAGTGTAATATACTTCACACTAATAGATTACACAAATAAATTACACTAATAGATTACACATATACTTCACATTAATAGATTACACATATACTTCACATTAATAGATTACACATATACTTCACACTGATAGATTACACATATACTTCACATTAATAGATTACACATATACTTCACACTAATACAAGTGTAGGGAGTACCGGCATATCAGTGTAGTAAGTCGGGTATATAAGTGTAGGGAATACCGGTATATAAGTGTAGGGAGCACCGGTATATAAGTGTAGGGAGAGCCCGTATATAAGTGTAGGGAGAACCATTATATAAGTGTAGGGAGTACCGGTATATAAGTGTAGGGAGTACCGGTATATAAGTGTAGGGAGAAACAGTATATAAGTGTAGGGAGTACCGGAATACAAGTGTAGGGAGTACCGGTATATAAGTTTAGGTAGTACCGGGATATAAGTGTAGGGAGTACCGGTATATAAGTGTAGGGAGTACCGGTATATAAGTGTAGGGAGTACCGGAATATAAGTGTAGGGAGTACCGGAATACAAGTGTAGGGAGTACCGGAATATAAGTGTATGGAGTCGGGTATATAAGTGTAGGGAGTACCGGTAAATAAGTGTAGGGAGTACCGGTATATAAGTGTAGGGAGTACCGGAATATAAGTGTAGGGAGTACCGGTAAATAAGTGTCGGGAGTACCGGAATACAGTGTAGGGAGTCGGGTATATAAGTGTAGGGAATACCGGTATATAAGCGTAGGGAGTACCGGTATATAAGTGTAGGGAGTACCGGTATATAAGTGTAGGGAGTACCGGTATATACAAGTGTAAGGAGTACCGGTAAATAACTGTAGGGATAATCGATATATAAGTGTAGGGAGTACCGGTAAATAATGTAGGGAGAAACGATATATTAGTGTAGGGAGTACCGGTATATCAGTGTAGGGAGTACCGGTATATAAAAGTGTAAGGAGTACCGGTAAATAATTGTAGGGATAATCAATATATAAGTGTAGGGAGTACCGATAAATAATTGTAGGGAGAATCGATATATAAGTGTAGGGAGTACCGGTATATAAGTGTAGGGAGTACCGGTATATAAGTATAGGGAGTACCGGTATATAAGTGTAGGGAGTACCGGTATATAAGTGTAGGGAGTATAGGTATATTAGAGTCGGGAGTACGAAATATGAGTGTGGGGAGTACCGGTATATGATTATAGGGAACACCGGAATATAAGTGTTGGGAGTACCGGAATATAAGAGTAGGGAATACCGGAATATAAGTGTAGGGAGTACCGGAATATAAGTGTAGGGAGTACAGGGATATAAGTGTAGGGAGTACCAGGATATAAGTGTAGGGAATACCGGAATATAAGTGTAGGGAGTACCGGAATATAAGTGTAGGGAGTCGGGTATATAAGTGTAGGGAGTACCGGAATATAAGTGTAGGGAGTACCGGAATATAAGTGTATGGAGTCGGGTATATAAGCGTAGGGAGTACCGGAATATAAGTGTATGGAGTCGGGTTTATAAGTGTAGGGAGTGACAAATAACGGAAAGACGAAACAACGAGAATAGACGACATTTCAGGTTGCTTAGTAGCATTCTAATTTTTCGTGTGATTTATCGTTTCTTCAGGACGGAAAGACGACAGAATTAGATTCAGGACTACAATAAACACTATAGTAATACACTACACTAATACGACGCATTGATGTTCTGCAGTGATTATACAACATTATACATTACACCATCAAACTATGCTATTGCTTACACTGATACACTACATGGATAATATACTTTTACACTTATAAGCAACACTTATACTTTACACATTATACTATAAAATATGGTTCATTAATGCACAGCACTAATACCCTTCCCTACCACAAAACAATAATACACTACAGTACATCTTCAAACTAATACACTACACTAATACTTAACATTTATATACGAAACTAATACTTTACACTCATACATAATATTAGTACTGCATCTAACACTAGTATTTTACATTTATAAATTACTATCTTATTTAATAGTATTGCTTAACACTTATACTTTATCCTAGTACTTCAAACTAATAGATTACACATATACTTCACATTAATACATTACACATATACTTCACACTAATAGATTACACATATACTTCATTCTAATAGATTACACAAATACTTCACAATAATAGATTACACAAATACTTCACACTAATAGAGTACACATATACTTCACACTAATAGATTACACAAATACTTCACACTAATAGATTACACATATACTTCACACTAATAGATTACACAAATAAATTACACTAATAGATTACACAAATAAATTACACTAATAGATTACACATATACTGCACACTAATAGATTACACAAATACTGCACACTAATAGAGTACACATATACT